GCCCTCCCTCGGCGCCTGCTTCCCCCCCATCCTTCCTCCCCCTCCGAGCCTCCACCCACCCGCCCACCGCCAAGCGTTGCTGCACTGCCTTTTGCCGCCGGAGGAATTCGGTGATTTTCGCCGCCTCCCCCATGTCCAGCAACACCAGCCGATGCGTCAGCAAGAGCGAGATCAACAACACGACTTGCCCCGCCATGGAGGTGGAGGGGTACAGGGCGGTGGAGGCGGGGAACTGCCCAGCCGTCTGCAAAAGGCTCCCCAGCAAGAGCCAGTTCCACCCGCAGGACCGGGGGATGAGGAGGGTGGAGTGTCGTCCGTACCGTTTAATGGTGGCGGCAATGACGAGCGTGACCAAGGAGAAAACCAGGGAGGGGACGATGGAGACGTAGTAATGCGCCACGTCGCCCCGGCCCAGGCCAAGGTACCCGGACATACCGGCATTATCCGAGGCGTCGGGGAAAAACACCGAGAAATTCACAATGAGGCCCATGAAGAAAAGCGCGAGGGCGATGAGCCGGACCAAGTTGCGGAGGAACCAGGAGCAGGGGGCCGTATCCACGCGTTTCCCTTCGTCGAAATTGATGCCCAGGTACTTGACGGACCGGTGCTTGTGGACCGCGTAGCCCGTCTCGAAGGAGGCGACCAAGAAGAGGGGAGGGATCACGGCTGGGAGGGAGGGAGGGAGGCAGGGAGGGAAGGAGGGAGGAAGGGTAAGTATCCCAATGAGGCCGGGGCATGAAGGGGAAGGGGGGGGACCCGAGGGCAGTTGTCCAGTCGCCGACGTACCGTTCATGATCCAGCCAAAGCGCTGGGCGCTTAGGGTGCAGAAAGGGGTGTTGGGTACCACCAGGAGCAGGTTTTCGTAGGCCAGGGCGAAGCAAAGCGTGGGCGTCATGAAGATAAGCCGGTGCTGGATCTGGTAACCAAAGTACACGGCGGGAAAGAGGCAGACGAAGGCAACGCTGGCACAGGCTGTGTGCACTGCGAAGGACCAGGTGGATAGGGGGTAGCAAAAGTCCATGCTGACTGCGGGCGCTAATTTCGGGGGGGAGGGGACCGGGAGTGACGGGGGAGGAATAGTGAGCGAGGGAGAAAGCGGGCGTCAACACTAGCCCTCCCTGTCGATTCCTTGCAGCACGGGAAGTTACAAGGCTGGCCAGCAGGAGATGCAATTACGTACATGTTGAGGGTGACTTTTTGGGCGGCTAGGGCGGGAGCGCAGGAATGTCGGGTCGATCAAAGGGTTACTGATCAAGAGCATGGAGGGGCCGTCGCCGCGCCGTTTTCAGGTGCTTTTCCTTCATTCAAGAGGGCTGACTTCTCTTTCTGTGTGGTGAAGGTGTACAATACTGTGCAGGTCAATACTCTGATGCCCCCCGCAAAAATGTCCGAGTCTGCAAGTCTACGTAAGATGCAACATGTGTGAGACGTGGCCCGGCCATCATCCCAAGTCGACGTCAGGTGCCACTTCGTCACGCTGACACCTGACAGGACCTTGTGACGCAGCCACTGCGACACCAACGTTTGCACACGACGCCAAAGAAAAAGAAGCCGGCGGGTCATCATGTCGCATGGTCTGGTATGCGCTCCTGAAAACTTAGGACGAGACGGGGGAGGTGCCAGCACGTGGACGCCCAGATAACGACAGGACAATTCTCCTTGGACACCTTGGTACCTTCATTGCAATATCATCATGAGAATCCAGTAGCAAGGCCCTTAAACAATACCTACTAAAAATGCGATCCTTTAGAGACGGTTCACTCGCCGTCAGCGCATGCAATGAGTGCGTCCCACGATGATGAAAGTAATCAGAGCCCTCGCATTGCTTTTTCCAATCAACACGGAATCCGGTCAATTTTTCTGTCATTTCCGAGTCGCTCTCATTTGCGCAGGTGCCGTTGAAATGCCCCCGCATTCCAGATCAGGGGGAAGGCCACATCCTCCGGTTGAAAGGGGCAGAGGAAAGCGGCATCTCCCCGTGTTCGTCGAAGGGTCTTTTTCCATCATATGCCCGATGACGCCATCGGCACGTGGCTCTAGGCAGTACCTTTGGCAAGCAGGAATGACATGTAGGCTCAAGATTATGAGCGCAATAAGTATGAGCTGCCTGTATTCACGGTTTTCGATTTTGAAAGCTCGCGAGATGGAGTATTTCTTTCCACGTGCTACATCCCACGCTCCAACCTCCTCGCCATTCGCCTACTAGTTTAGTAAAAGCACTTTGACAACTGTTGGCATTTGTGACAATTAATGAGTGAAATTCTTTATTAAAAGTATCATTGGGTTAAAATAAATCAGTTTTGATATTGTAGGTCTTACAGAGATATTCCTTTAGACGCAGGTTTGGATGGAGGATGCACGCGGATGTTTCTCAAGAGCAGTTTGATGAGTGGCTTCAATTTGATTTCAACTCCCGGTTGTGCAACGTAAGCAACAAATGACGACCAATGTTTGGCAAGAATGTGCGCAGGTGGAGTGCAAAGCTAGATTGAATTGAGGCGATGTTTCGGGGGTATGTATCTACAGTATTGACTTGAATGTCGTTCCTGGAACAACTGAAGAAAGACGTATACCACCCTCCTGCAATCTAACAAATATGTTCCTTTCACACCGATTTACGTGTGCTTTCATGAAAGCCATTACATGAGCGTTCTTGTCACCGCCGCCGCCGGATCCACTTTCGAGGCCTTCATGTCCCAGTAAACCTCACGCCCACCGTTCGGACCTTCGTCTCCTGCCAAAACCCATCCAACCCTTTCGATAAAAGAGCGCGCAGACTCCTCTTCTCCATCTTCCACTTTCTCTCCGTCCTTGGTCGACAACTTGCCAAAACCTAGTTCCGCCTCCACGAATTTTGCTGGCAACGTTGGTTTGTACGCCTTTACCATCGTCTGCATCGCCCTCACCCTGGCCTGATCCATAAAATGCTTCATGATCCTCCTTCCTTCCCCCGGTGCCTCCCGATACAGAATACCCAGCCGGTGATAATTCCCCACGACAGCGGCGCGGCGGACTGCCAAGGCATGCCGCACGGCCGTTGCTTGTTTGTCCGTGTTGGAGAGCTGTGCCAGGACCCGCAGGACCCCGCTATCGCCGTCCGCGTATTTAGGGTTGCTCTGCAGGTACACGTAGTACAGCACCCGGTAGGCGGTGAATT